TTTTTATTATTTTTTTTATTTTTTTTTTGTTTTTTTTTGTTTTTTTGTGTTCAATAAATGTTTAAAATTCACGTGTTGCCGGCCAGCTGCCAAATAATAAATAATTTATCAAATAATAGTGTTATGTGGGGTAGAAAGGATTTTATGAGATTTGTTTTTTTTTTAAATTTTGTTTCAAAATTCAAGAACAATTTTTGTAACGTACTTTTATTTGATTTTAACATTTTTAATGTATTTTGTTTTTTGTTGTTTTTTTTTTTGGTTTTATTTTCTATTTTTATTGGTTTTTATTTTCATTTTACACTTGAGCAATCTTCACTGGTAAAAAAATTAATCATTTGAGAATAAATATAAAAATTTTAACGCCGGTTTGATGTCAGACGCCGAACTGCGGGTTTATTGAATTCGTAATTATAATTTGATTGAACTGCGATGATGTTTTTGATGATAAGGCGTTCGCACATGAACTCATATATTTGAATTAATTTTCAATTGTTTCCTTCTTGTTTGATATTGAGAATTTCATTTCAGTTTTTTTATTTTTTTTATATATTTTTATTTTTATTTAATTTTGATGACATGCAGCGCCCACATCTTGCAGACAATTTGTCATTGAAAAACTTCACTCTTGTCAGTCCTCAAAAAGAAAAATTGCGTTGAATTAAAAAGTGAATGAGCTTAATGCCTGAATCGTTTCAAGTCTCAGCCAAGTAATAATAAAAATTTTTTAAATTATATGGAATTTTTAATTAATTCCTTTTTGCAATAAAGAAAACTGCACTCTAATGAATTGCTTTAATTAAAAAGAAATTTGCTTAATGAGCAATAAATTAAAATTATTCAGTTATTTTCCTATTTAAAAACATCATTTAAAAGTATTTCATATTAGCAAATATTTTTTAAAACATTTAAAACATTTTAAGATAAGCACAAGTCTTTATATATTTTGAAATGTTTTTTTTTTTGCGAACAAAAATTATTTTTATATTATTTTTATTAACTAAATTTTTGACTGCTGATCATGCAGTTGTTTCGAGTATTGTCCAATACCCATCATTAGTGGTCTTGAAAATAATTCTTGTATTTAATTATTCGTAAATATAATTTTTGATCTGCAAGCACCAGGAATTGGTTTTGGGTCATTTGTTTAAGGAGCGTTGACTCTGACTTGGCAGGGAAGTTGACTTGGCAGGGAAGGAGTTCAACCCTTGATACTTGTAGTCTGAAAAAATTATCTACAAATAATTAAATACAGGAAATAATTGGCTGTATGGTCAGACAAAAATTCAATTAATTAAAATAATATAAAAATTATTTTTGTTGTTGTAGCTCACTACTGTTCGACACTTCTCTATTAAATAGCACAGTTTCTGTTAAAATAAAATAGACACTTCTGTCATATTGACGTTAAAATCAAATTTAATTAAATACTTACTAACATAGTTGGCTATTACAAACGTGAATCATCCTTGGGCGCGTACATTAGCTACCACCAGTCAACTCAATCGATGGATTACTGTCACCAGTTGCTAGTACTGAGTGATTTCATATCGTTGGCCACCTCGTTCTTCCACACAAGATACCTAGGACACAGATTCGGGTACTCAATCAAACACCTTTCAAGTCGGAGCACCTCCTTTCATTTGCTTTCATAGTAAGTTTTTCACAACTTCCAATTATAGTTGTCAATACATAAAATAGGGAAACCTAAAATGAATAAAAGAATATTATAGTTAGATATAAAAAAAATTTATTCAATTTTAATACTATGGTATTAAGTTTCAATATTTTAAACAAGAAATCCTTTAATAAATAGAAGAAACCTCAAAAAATAGTAACTTCCATAGATTAATGGCGTCGAAGCTGATTTACGAAAGTAAGGTTTGTAAGAATTTCAAACGACAACGCAGTACATAAAAATACAAAAACCTTTTTGGATACTGACCAACTAAATCTTTAATGTATGATGATAATAATAATAAAAAAAATAAGTTTGAACCGATAATTATATTGACAACAACTTTGATAATTGTAAACTGATTTTTATTCAGTATGTGTTACCACTTCATCATGAATATCATCATCATCCATGACTATACAGTCTATGTAGGATCGAAGCCTGTTTAACAACTGTCTTCCATTCTTCTCTGTTTTTTGCTTTTGTTTTCCAATTTCATATGTTCATTTATTCTAAATCCTGCTGCACACTGCCTTTCCATCGTTTTCTTGGTCGCTCTCTCCTTCTACTGGTTTATACTTCGTATCATAAATCTTAAGAGTACCACTCTCATATCCGGCATTTTTATCACATGTCCAACCCATCTTAATCGCTGCTTTTTTATAAGTTTGTTGATTGTAACACCTTCAGCTAGCCGTTCTAGCTTGTGATTGTCTTCTATGCGATACATCCCAAAATTTTTTCTGTTTATTTTCTTTTCAAACACTGCTATCTTGCTTGCTTCAGTTTCAGTTTTAACATGAATAGACTTAAAGCCAATTTTATAATGCACTCTCAAGTGTTGACAATGACACTGGAATGACATTTTTTTAAGATATCTTTTAAGTGACATTTTACTACGAAATATCGAACACTTAAAGGTTACTTAAGTGTTAAGTGTGAAATTGTACTCTTACCTGAAAACTTCCTCAACTCTAAACCAAATCACTTAGCTTCACTCACACAAACAGTCAGTTTTCAACCGAGCTAAAATATACTTATAACATATAAAAATATAAATTTTTATGAAAACTTTTATTAGTTTTTATTCAATTTTATAAAATTTACATTTTGTTTTTCTTAAAATTAGTCACTTCTTTTTATTACAAATATTAAAGGATAAAGTTTTAAAATTCACCACAAATTCTTTTCTATATAAAATTACCGTGAAAAAATCTTTCCACAAAAAACAAAAAACTTTAATCAGTTTTGACCATTCAAACTTCAAGTGACCAGTGAGACATTTGACCTAAAGTAGCAAAGCATCACATAACATTGTATACTTGCACATATCCCAAAACATCCTTACATAGTTTTCTATCCTCTGGGCATAACTTGTCTCTCGTTTCTTCTTATTTGAGGTAAACGAACGTAATTTGATCTTTGATTTGCTTCAACAGTTTTCGTCCTTTCATACGAAATTTCTGGGAAAATGTGTAATTTAGCCTTAAATTATGTCAAATATGCTTTGTGGGTTTTTTCATTGTTTGCTGTTAAATTTAGCGTGTGTAGCTTAAATTTAATACTTGATAAATAAAACAATGATGCAATAAGGTCATAACTCATGACCCATTCACTTTGGCGTCAATTATTTCCCTTCCATGGAATTTGTTATGCTTTAAATGCGCATAAGGACGAACTATGACCGAAATTTGATTTGCAACTTCATTTCAGTGGAAAATTTAAATATAAACCATTTTAGCAAAGCATGTGTGTATTTGAGTTCAAAGGAATTTTATAGTTATATATAAAAAAAATATATTTAATTTATTTAATACATTAGTATTATCCTCATACAATTTTTATTTAAATGCATTGAGAGGGAAACTAAACCTAGTTTATGAAAAAAGGAAAGTATATTAAGTTTATTAATTTAATAAATTATTATTTCGGTCTTATCAAGTAGAAAAGGTTGAATTATCCAACTGATGATAACGTTTGTGAATAATCATATTACATCTAGCTGATTTTAAATCCCGAGTTTTCCTACATATACGGTAACACAATGGTCCAATAGGCCTAAGTGGATCTACTAGGAATACCCGGTATAACCTAAACGTATTACAATTCTTAGAAAACCCTTATTCCTGCAATAAGTCCAAAAAACGTACAGGTACTAATATCAAAAATTTCATGGAAAATGAAAGGTTATACTCGGGAATGAAAACTGTATTACTACTGTTCACGAGCAGCAACAACCTTTATTACATGTAATACTAAATGACTGATGCCTTATAGCAACACTACTAAGCAAACACAATGAAACCATAAACGAAGCCCATAAAACCATTTGCAGATTCCACCTAATCCATGCCTAAATGATTGATATAACCCCAACTTTCCTGTGGGGTCTTGCATTAGACGTATATAATTTTTAATGACAAATTAATATGAGCCGGGCGGGGCGTTAGTACTATTATCCGCTCTATGGATTAGAACTTAATGCTTCAACTGTTTTTTAGTCGCTACCAAAAAAGCATTATAAATTGCATTTTTTTTGAAATTCTTTTCGTGCTTTTAACTAGGATACATTTTTTAATGACACATTGATATGAACTTTTTGGAATTTTTGCGTGTTTTTAAGCGTAACCTCTGTTCAGCACTTCTATATAGGTACATTTTTCAGGATTGTGGCTCTAGGAATGAGGAATGAGTGGCTCTAGCAAAACTGTACTTAATCTCATATGTCAATGTCCATCATAGGCTAGGAGAAGATTTTAAATTTTTTGTGATTCTGTTCTTATCGATCTGATAGAGCTGTCATCCTGCAAAATTATATATTTTATAGTCTTGATTTTCTTTTCCTTAAATGAGCGGAATCATGATTTTCAATACTACTCATATGCTAACCCCTGAGCTCCTTTTAAGATCCTACTGGTCTATGTATGAACAACTTTAATCTGTGGTATTACAACGACCAATTATGTGAGCTCAAGTAGACTGGTGGCACAAAGCTAGCATTCTAACCTAACTTAACATTTAGTACTTTCGAATATTTATATTGTTGTATTGATTATGTGATAATAAGTTAGGTGTTTATGATAAATACCGATTGGGACCGATTCAACTATCTTAAAACGTTTATTCTATTTTACTGTTGTTATTGAAAACTTTATATAGCTTTTAAATAAATGAAGTTATAATTT